GTTGTACTTAGCCGCATAAGCTGGTCCATGCTTAACCACATAGTTGGGTCATATCTTACCATATGAGTTGGGTTATACATGGCCACATGGACTGGATTATACCTAGTCACATGAGCTGGCCCATACCTAACCATATAATTGGGTCGTACCTTATCGCATGGGCTAGGTCATACATGGTCATATGGATTAGATCATACCTAGCCACATGGTTTGGGTCATGCCTGACCACATGGGCTAGGTTGTACTTAGTCACATAAGCTAGGTTGTACATGACCACATGGTTTGAGTCAATTCGATCTGATCGATCAACTTGACTCAAGTCAAACCCCAATTAGACTCCTCTTATCGAATTAGATTTCAATATTTAAAATTATTAAAGAATTAATCAAATATATTAATTAAAATTTTAAATTCATGATCTAAAATTTAAAACTAATTACATTACAGAAATTCACACATAATTCTTGAAACATAGATATAACTAATTAAATAAATTAGAACTATTATACTAAATAAGAATTTTAATAATTAAATCAATATTAAAATTCACTTAAGCTTAAAAGATCAATACAAATCAAATAATCAGTCTAACATCACAAATCAATTATTATTATTTATAAATCATGAAATTTCAAAATTAAAACATCATATTTCATTATAAAATTATCCCTTCCTTGATATCATCTCCCCGGAAAGTCATTTCCTCAATCATTCTATTGTTAGGCTTAGTAGAGAATGAGGGATGAGTAGTCCCTTTATATAGGAGAAGATGAGATCTCCCCAAAAGGTAAGTAATAATTTAGTTTTTATTTTTAATTTATTTTACATTTACTTTCACACACAAAAAGGTAATATAATATTATTTTTTTATAGTTCATACACAAAAATAGAATTTAAACTATTTACTTCCTAAATATCAAATCACTTATTAGGAAATAAATCAATTAAAATTTAATTGATTAGTAGAATTCCTAACTTATTCATGTGATTAAGGAAACCAAATTTAATTATTTCCTTAATTATAATACATAAATATAGAAGTTAATAATATAGTAATATATCATTTATAGTAATTCATTTATGTTAATAGAGAAATTATCGGTGATTATAAAAATTATGCCCAGGTTAAGGACAACCAGCTCAAGCGAAATGATCCACTTGCCTCGAATGTGAAAAATATTATATATATGAATATTTTAAAGCAAATAGTTATGTTTTCGGTATAAAAAATTATGACATTTGGCAAGGAACTATATAACAATCGTGGTCAAACTTTACCTTGAGGTCTAGGATTCAATCTCATTATGTCTCATTTCAAGCTTTTTTGTCTAAACTCATCTTTTAAGTTTAAATATATATCTCAATATTTAATATAACACTTCATCCGAGCCTAAGTAGCTTATGATCCTTCACATACATAATGTTTAAAACTTAAACTTTCTTATGTTAATCGTGGTCAAACTCATTCAAGCCTTGAGATTCAGTTGATTAAAATTCAACTACCACTTCTAGTTATTATATATATGCTTATTATTATAACTTTATCTCATATTCAAGTTCGCTAACATACTTTAGCCTTTTATACTATATTTAAAGTAAATATTAATACTTATACATACTCAATAAATATTTCTTAGAACACTAAGAATAATATTTTTGAAACTAATTTCCATTTGAAAATTACATTGTGTGATTAGGATTTTGTTTAACACATAATTCATCATTATCTTTTACCAAAATAAAATAATTTAAATAAAAATTTAAATTACCATAAATTTATACATAAACACCACTCAACAAGATTCATAAGTATCGAACACCACCCAATGAGATTGGTAAGTATCAAATGAAAGAAGATATTCTAATGATTAAGATATTTAGATTAAAATTACTAAAGTTGTAATAGCTAATATCTTAAAATTTATTTTATGATGAGCTAATAATTTAAAATGCCTAAATGTAATTAAACATTCAATTATTATGACTAAAAAATATTTTTTAGGAAGAGAATATCATAAGGTTAGAGGTGCTTAAACTAATTCAAATTGAACTATAATTCAAAATGAACTATAATATGCCAATAGAAGGATAAATAATATGTATATATTACCCTCACTTAGTAATATGATTTATGATGTCTATACTTCATAAATATGATAATGACATACTCATATTTTTTGTCTTTAAAGTTGAAGTATGAACTTTCAAAAATATTATTCTCAATATTCTATGACATATTTGTTGAGCATGCATAAGAATCAATATTTATTTGAAGTATATTTTATTATGAAAAAAGTTTGATCTTTCAACACAACAAGCTTAAGCATAACAGTGGATGTGAGTGAGGTTAAGTTATAATAATAAGTATGTATATAGTGACTAGAATTAACAAATGAATTGCAATCGATCTTAAGTGAATCTCAAGGCTTAAATGAGTTTGAACATGATTAAAATAAGGAAGTTCAAATTTTATACATTATATATATAGAGGATAATAAGCAACTTAGGCATAGATGGAGTAATAAAAAATTAAATAGAAATACAAATCAAAGATGAGTGTTATACTAAAAATATTAAGATATTAAACCAAATTAGATTTAACTAAAATTATTAAAATCTTATAATTATATTAGTAAAAAAAATTGAAATAAGGTCTAATGGGATTGAACCTTAGACCTTGGGGGTTGCTTCATAAGCACTTCTATTTTATTTTAGCTTCATGATTATTTCTCTTCTTCAATTATTCTCTTAGTTTTTCTCATGGGAGATTGGAAACCCTAACTCTAACAAAATTGAGGTAAGGAAAACCTAATTTTTGTGTACATAACGTTAATTTGAGATTGATGCATAACATTATGAGTGTCCTAATCTGAGATACTTAGAATCTCTTATTTTCTTATAAGGGATTCTATTCAAGATAAATTGACTTAGGATTCGGTTCTATTCTTTTGATATACTTTAAAAAATTCTCTGAAGATTATGTAAAATTTAAAATTGAACGAACATAACTTTTGTGTACAGATTTATAAGTTTACATAGTCTTAACTCTATTTTAGCATAATAAAAATTATATTTGTAATTGAATTATGAGGATAGTATAGCCTCTTAATGATTCCTAAAAATTAGTGTACATTTAGTTTTATATGTCTCTTAGTTTTTTATAAAATTTCATGATAATTCAAGATCATTTAGTTAGCTAAAATAATGAAGTAAATTTTTTTCATAAAATTGTGTAATGGTTTGAGTGATATGAACTAGTTTATTTGATTATAGAGTGAATTGTTAAAAAAAGTGATGGCAGAATTTTGATGAATTTTTAGGTTGAGTATAGTCTATTTTTATTAAAAATAATAATATTTTTTTATAAATTTTATTATAAATTATTATAAATCAATAATTCAAGTGGTAAATTTTTAATCAAGGCATCTCATCACTTTATACTCCCAATTTGATAGATATACCACTCTTTAACACACTTGATCATTAAATAATATAATTTTTCACTGATATATTTATTTTTTAGTTAAATTAATAAGTATAAGTTTAACTCATTACAAAGTAGGAACATTTAAATTATCATATACATAATGCATCTTGTAAAGTATGTTTCAAATGATATGATTATCAAGAGTGAGCTAAATATGAATGTATATATTTTGTAAGCAGAAAAATATATGAATCATGATAAAGATGTCTTGTATGCATACATATATGATGACATACAATGTGGGAGTACATGAATATATTACAACATACAATGCATATATATATTATGATGTGCGATGTGAGAGTGCATAAATATGTTACAACATGCAATGTATATATATGCTATGATGTACGATATGGAAATGCATATATATTACAGTGATGTCTTATGTGGAATGCACGTATATGTTATGATATGGGGTATAGAAGTCTATGAATTTATTATATTTTCTACATGTGCATATAAATATTTTAAATTATTTTGACATAAAATTTTATCTTTAATTCTGCATATGCTATGTTTTAGGATTATGCTTGTTAAATAAGTTATAGAATGATGTATTTACCATTAAATGGCTTATACTAATGATTTTAAAATTTTATACATATGATATGATATATGCTTACTTAAATAAGACTATAAAGACTTATACTTACTAAGTGATTACTCAAATGATATGATATATGTTTCCTTAAATAACTCTATTTTACATGTAAATATACTAGTACCCTACCCAAGTGATTGAATAGTGAGCACGTACGAGCCCATGTTAGTCCAAATATGAATGATGACCTATGAGCATTTGTATATCTATAACTTCCGGATATATTGAGTGTGATTATTTTTCTTTTGGTTAGAGGTTATAATTATGTACAAGTATCAAAATCACTATATACAAAGGGAACCTTATCATTTTGATTAATAAATTAGTATATTTTACTTTTAAGTTTATCAATTTTTTTTGGGTCGAATTAAATTGAACTATTTTTTTTTTATTAAGTTTGAATAAAATAAGATATCCTAAATCCTAAACGATTTAGACCTACCTAATTGAACCAATTTAAAATGGATTAATCTAATTCAATTAATCGATTAATTGATTTATAATTTTAAAAATATATTTTTTTATGAATCATTTCAGTTCAATTTGAATCCAATCGGATCGAACTATAAGCTTATTCTGATTCGGTGATAGAAACTTCTTATTAGAAGAGAGAAATACTCTCTTTTCATTTTAGAAGGTCAGGAAGAAAAGACATCCGTTGATTTAAATGAGATGGGCACGCGTCTGGTACATAGCAAGGCGATCTTTCAATTGTTCATGCTCTCTTGCAGCAGAGCAGCAAGTTAATGGTTCTTCCTCACACGGAATAACAACGCAGCACGCGCGTAATTTCCCGCCATCTCATTGGGTGAGATATGCCACGTCGTACCATTGGGGTCACTTTTGTGGGTCACAAATTCTTACCATAATTACTATCTTAACGTTATTTCTAATTTCATGATCAATAGTTGCATTTTGATTTGGGATTTCATTTCGTTGCGGAAAAGGTCGCAAAGATATGGCGACTCGCAATGACTCGCCCAATCCCAACTCCACCGAAGCGTGGACCGTCGTCTCCCGCCGCCGTCGCCGCTCTCTCAAGCAGCAGCAACCGAAGCGCTCCGTTCTCCCCGGACCCGAAACCCTAATCGCGCCTCCGTCCCCATGGATTCCGATCGATTCCTTCGTCGACATTGAGCGTCGATCCAAGCTGCTCCAAAGGATGGAATCCGCGATCCGGAGGCTCGAGTGTTCCTCGTTCTACCGGAGGTTCCTCCTCCGTCTGCGCGGCCATCTGGTCCAGCACGGTCTGGCCAGGGCGTTGTCCTCCGCCTTGGAGATTCGTATGGTGGTCTACGGCGTCGGGAGCATTGAATCCTACGACCCCTCCCGCCTCCAGCTTGCCCTCGCCATCCTCCTCCGTCGGGACCTCGGCCTCGCAGTGCCGTATCTTGAAGTTTTTGACCCAATCCTTTCCGCCACGGAGTGTGCCGTAATGACGGCGTTCGATTGCGCCGTGGTGCCAGTGGATGAGAGGGGGCGGAGAGAGGTAAGAGCCCCGACGCTGTTCTACATGCCGCACTGTGAGGCGGCACTTTACGACGGGCTATTGGAGGCCAATTGGAGGCCGTCGAGCCTCAACCGGATGGTGGTGCTTGGAAATAGCTTTTCGGCGTATGAGCAGTTCGTGGAGTTAGGGAGTTGCTCTGGGTCCGCATCCGTGGAGGCGGCCGTGAAGCATCTTCTATTGGTGAGAAGGCATGTGACGGAAGTGGAGATGGAGGAGGAGGAGGCTGGAGCAGGATCGCAGGGGAAGCAGGACGACGAAGATGGGATTTTCAAGGCCTTTCATGATACAAGTTGGCATTTTTTCGACTTGGACGATGATAAGCCGATGGATCTCGTGAAGAGATGAGTTTATGGTTAGCTTTTCTCTTCTCCCAAATTCTAACTTTGATTCAATCACATGAGAGAAATGAGAATTAGATTTTCATACTATTGCCTGAATGGACTATTTGCTTCTCTATATCATTTTAGTAGCTGAAGTTCTTTCATCAAACTACTTAAATGAAAAGGATCTCTAGAGCCTTTACTGTTATTAAGGGTAATTATGTATTGTATTGGATGGATACCCTTCTACAAAGAAGAATAGTTCAAGTTAATAGACCTTAATCCCTTTTCTTCCTAATGGACCTTAAGCTGGTGTCTGAGGAACTCTTTTTACTTGATTTTATTTCAGGTTTAAACTATTTCCCATGACTACCAAAGAGTACTGTCATTGTTACATACACTACGATCTCATACAATTTTCTCATACAGTCAATATCACGTTAAACTCTTCGATTCTTTCTCCTCCTTGCTTACTACTTTCATATTCCCCGTAAATTCCATGAAAAATGTGTAGTTCTTTATCAAGTCAAGCCCACACTGTGGACAATTCAAATTCTAGATGGTCAACATGCTCTATGGGTGAAATTACAAATATGATGCCTTTGTTAAGTGTACCACCATATGACTTTGGGAGATTGGTTGTTACTAATTTATTGCTTGAAAGATGGTATATTTATCAATAGTGTAAAATTGGGTGTGGAATGGCTATACATCTAGTGTGTTTCCTTTAATGATCTTTAAAAAATATAAGAAAACTAGATGCATAAAATTATAAAGGCTTAATGATCTTTAAAGTTATATAAAGGCTTTAAAAGATATGGAAGGGCATAGAGAAAGAAGAAGCAGTGAGTGCACACAAAAACTAGCCGCATAAAATTAAGCTCTGGAAGAAATGAAATCTGAATTCATTGTGTAATTTGCTAGTTTATTTAAAATCCCAAAATGAAGGGTTCTACAAATCCCTGAAACTAAGAAAACAGCATCCCAAATGCCACCTGAGTTGCCATCGAAGCAAGGGGTTTACATTTAGACTATGGTTGGCTTTAGAAACAGATGACATAGTTCTCTTTAGTTGCAGCAGGTTACTATGAAGCCCTAAATATGCTGTTCTTCGTTAACAACAAGATCTGACAGCCCATAAAGGAATTTTTTTCATTTAAACCTCTAAAATGCTACTTCTTGTTGTAATGTTGTGTTATACAAATTTTATTAAAGCCTTTAATTGAGCAATAACAAAAGAATAAAAAAGAAAGAAAGGCAGCAAGTGATTCATTATTGTTGTCTCCGATGATACAAAACTCCTCAATATATGCAGAAATTCTTCTTTCCCTTCTTATTCAACTGCAAAGTTTTTCAAAACGTAGTGGCTGTTGAACCGCAGGAAAGGGTTGATTGGCTGTTCAATACCTGATATCCAGCCAAGTGTCAGGCCAAGCAGCATAGTGAGGTCTCTCTTTTTCTTGGTCTCACACTTTCCTGATGGTCTACTTTTCTGTTTCACATACAGTTACTTTTGCCCCTTCATCCTTTTGCTACCATGTTGTGCTTTGTCACACCATTGCTTGAAAATCCAGCCAATGGGAGATGTTTCACTCAAAGCATAAGCCATTTCTTGCCATGAGGGCAGCATATATCCTTCGAAAACTATACTGTTCAAGGGGAATTCTACAGATTATGTCCGCTATTCTCTGTTATTTCAAGGTGTGAGTTCTCTTATAGGAGTTGAGTTGCCTTTTATTTGCTTATTGATTTCTGTTTTGTTTCTTACCCAAGATTAGTCACTTTCTTTTCTTTATATTTGCAATTCCTGGTAGTAAGGTTTTCCTTGAAACTTGATTAAGATGTTTCTTTGATCCTTATTTTGAATTTATAATGGGAAGAATGTGCTGGAGAAGAACAATTAATGATTTAATGATTGGTTTTGGACTGGGAGGTCAGAGCTGTTTTGAGTCGACTAGAGTGAGCTCCATGTGTATTTAGTGCATGCAGTTTACTAATCAAGCCAATTTTGGTCCCATTTTTAGTTTGGACTGTTCTATTTAACTTGGACTTTTCCTTCTTGCACTCATGTAGCTCATTGTCTGAACTAAATTTTGAAGTTTCACTCCAAGCCAGATTGCTTGTGGCATTCGGTGAAAATCAATCACAGCTTCAACATCCGAGTCTTTTTAAGGATTCTAGTCTCTATTTTATCCAGAACTCAGTTGAGTTCTATATTTAACAATCTGTTAGATGTAAACGTCGTCATTGTCATTATTGTCATTATCATCATCAAAACTCACAGTAGATAAGGTTCTACACTTTTGCTAAATTAAAAAAAGAAATTCTAAAATTGGTGGTTAGCATGATATTGATCCTTTCACATTACCATCAAAGCTAAATATAACTGCTGGACCACTTGTCTGCTTTTCCCAAAAAAAACATGATATATTGTGCTAATGAAGACATCTTTTCTGGTTACTGATTAAGCAAGCTCATTCAGTCGAGAAAGAGCCTGAGAACCCTTAAACTTGAAAAAATGGAAAGTATGCTCAATTAGCCAATGAGAAAACGAGTGACATTCATTGAAAATGCTCAATTAGCCAAAGATCCAATCATCATGACCCAAAACATCTGGTGGGCCTTTGAAGCTTCTAATTTCACTTTCAACTTTTTTCTGTAGCACGTAGTCCTTATTTCATTCAAGAGTATCCTTTGCATTTGTTTGAATTTAGCAAATACAGTAATCATTGTATTTGAAACATTCTTCTTTCTCATTTGAGATGCTATTGTTGATTAATTATCAACAGTTAGAACTATAGGTTTTGGTTCATTTGCTAATTAAGAACAGCTTGGGTGCAATTTGCAAAGCACATTGTTGAATGTATAATATATTACAGCTATTAAACCCTTTAGCTCAAGCTGTTCTATTTAAACAATAAATGTCTCCTTTAGTTTTAATTAATGCTTAATGCAATACATATCAATTGAATTTCTCCAACACAGGTGGTTGATCAAGTTGCTTTTACAATTAATTGTAGTTAGAAACTAGCTAAGAGTCATCCTGTGCACTGTAATTTTGGGTGTCATAGTTGGATGATTTGCTTTCCAAAAAATTGGAACCTGAATTTGTGTATGTTAAGTCCTCCATTACCTGCATGTGTTTTAAAATATAATAGTTGTCTAATTTTACGTACATTTTCTGTTAATTATGACAATCTTTGTCCTTCTTAGTTGCATTATCTTTCACATCCATCAATGATGTGTTCAAAATATTCAAGAGCTCTGAGAATAGACTGTTAATATTTGTTGCAGATGCATTTTGAAAACTTCTAAAGAAAGTGACAACTTGTGAAGCTATTATGCTAGCAAGATAATTTGTATTTCCCCTTTATATACATTTCTTGTTCTTGTGGATTTTTGTTTTGAGTGACAATATCAATTGGGACAGTCTTGCAACTCAGAAGCTCTCTTAGGATCTTACAAATATGTTATTATTTCTAGAGATGAACTGTCCTTTTATAGTGTAAACATTTCAGGTAAAGTTGGAAATCATTGTACTTTTTTTTCACTTTATGAATATTCTTTTCTAGTTTAAGTGCTTGACATTAACAGATGGAATTTATTTTTGCAGGTTAAATTGATGCATGATGACTAAAACCTGGATTCTATAATACTTAGATGCTCTGCAGGAAAGAGAAATGCAATTTGAATCTTTTTTTTATTATAGGTCAATTTGATGGGGATAAGAATTCACCATTGAGCATCTCAATTAGGATTCCTTCAATACCTTCTTTATGCTTAATTATAATACTCATTACTTTCAAAATCATATTCATTTCAAAAGATTTTAGCTTTTATTTTGTTGTTCTAGACATTGATGTGGGTTCTTTTGCTCTCATAGGCTACAACCATTTGATCATGTCAATCAAATTCATATTTGATTGAGGTATAAGTAAATGCATAAAAATCATAATAATTAAACTTATTTTTTAATGAGCAAATTCTCAAAAAAGACTATAGTTTTATTTATTTTTCTAGTAGAGCACACTTTTAGTTTTTCACACGCATCTAATTTTTAAAATGTATAAAAATAAATATTTTTAATAATTCTTTTGTAAGGTTTTAGGTAATATTAGATGTGTTAACGACGAAGGTCAAAAAATATTTATTAATGATAATGAGATTAAGGGAAAATAAAAAAATATTTTTATAAATTATTTAATGAATATTCTATATAGAATTTAGATTTAATGATAAATAATAGTGATAGATTTAATATTCATAAAATTAGAATTAACAAATTAAAAGATGTATTAAAAAAGATAAAAATAATTAAAAATGTGAGAGCTAGTGGTATTCTTATTAAGGTCTGAAAAAGTTTAGGAGATAAGGGAATATCTTGATTAATTAACTTAATAAAATTTTGAGATTCAAAAGAATGTCTAATGAATGAAGAGAGTTTTTTAGTGTTAATTTTTAAGAATAAGGGTGACATATAAAATTTTTTAAATTATAGAAAAATTAAAATCATGAGTCATATTATGAAATCTTAGAAAAAAATTATCAAAAGTAAGATACGCCTTAAAATAAGTATTTTTCAAAACCAATTTGGTTTTATGTTTGGAAGATCAATCATAGAAACTAATGATTTATTAAAATAATTAATAAAAAAATATAGGGAGAAAAAAAATGATTTGCATATGATTTTTATTTACTTATAGAAAATCCATGATAAGATTTCTAGAGATTTATTATGGTAAGTTTTAGATGAAAAAAGTGTATCCATTAATTATATTGATGTTATTAAAGATATATATGGGTAATACAACTATTAATATTAGAACAAAGGAGTGTATTTATGTAGTTTTCTATTAGCATATGGTTACATTAACGATTCATAGTAAGTCTCTATCTTTTCACATTGATAATGAATGAACTTACTAATTACCTATATGATAGACATTTATAATATATGTTATTTACTGATAATATTATCTTATTTGATGAGAGTTTGAGCAAAATTAGTTTTAAACTTGAGTTATAAAGATAAGCTTTAGAAATTAAAAGTTTTAGATTAAGTAGGACTAAAGACTTAATATATAAAATATAATCTTAGTGATTCTAGTAATAGATTAGAGAATATAGATAAGTTGAATTGACAAGAAGTCCTTTTAAGTAAAAATTTTAGATATTTTAGAATAATATTTTAATAAGATAGAAAGATCGATAAAGATATTATTTATAAAATAAAAATAAGATGATTAAAATGATAAGAGACATTAAAAGCTATGTGTGATCATCAATTATTTTTATGAATCTATAATGCTTTATGGATCTGAGTGTTAAACAGTTAAGAAAAAATATATACAATAAGTTTATGTTATTTAGATGAGATTGTTGAAATAGATGTGTGAAATTATTAAAAAATATTAAAAAATATTTTTATTCGTGAATAACTACGTATCGTTTCGATTGAGGATAAGATAAGATAAAATTATTTAGATATAGGATAAAATAAGATAAAATTATTTAAGATAGTATGAGTATATATTAAGGAAATTTTTGGATATGATAGTTAGAAAATATAAAATAATTAATGTTAGTTATACGAGAAGAGAAAAAGGAAGACATAAAAAACTTTAATAGAAACTATAAATAAAAATTTAAGTACTTTAAACTTAACTAAAACTAAATATATGATTCTTTACCAATCATATATTTAAACACTCAACATTAAACATTCATATAGCTGAATAAACATTCATATAGCTGAATAAAAATAATTAAAATTTATAATCTTATTATTATTGTTATTATAATAACTCTTTATAATTTTTTTTTCTCCTTGACATGTTTTTGCAATGTGTAGATGCATGGCTCAACACTCAACATGTACGGAAGTAAGGGCCCACTGATTCTCTTTCCTAATAGCCAACAAAGTATCACTGAAAATTTAAAGGTAAAATACAAGTTACACTATTTTTAAATTAATTATAATATTTTTTTAATAGGACTCAATAATAGTATAATTTTCTCATATCCCATTTTAAAATAGTGCAACTCAAGTCTTTAAGTAATTTATTATTTTCTCAAACTTTAAAAATATTTTATAATAATATTCAAGTGGCTTTTGTCCCAAATGGTATAACACTTTTTGCATGATGAAAGTTGGATGTTACATTTTAATTTTTATTATTACTATTGACAGGAGTGCAACGTAAAGTAGATAATCTTTAAATTAAAACATGCTAACTAACTAAAGAAAATAACATAATATTTTTTATACATAGTATTTTGAACACCTATACATAATTATAATATCTAACCAAAAGAAAACATAAATATAATAAGCCTAAAATTTATATACATAAAATGCTCACAAGTCATCATCTACACTAGTATGTACTCGCACATGCTCACATCCTTGCCCAATTATTTGGGTATGGTATTGATATCTTTAACTACAAAATAAGTATTATGTCATGTTATAATATTTTAAAATTATTTACAAAAGATATTTAATGATAAACTCCTCATTTTATGACTTCTTCAGCGTCCTACAATATAGTATATACAAAATAAAAAGATAAAATTATACATTAAAATAATTTAAAATGCTTATATGCACTCTTACATCATAATATATATGTGCACTCTTATATCGCATTATCATAAATGGTCATTGCACACTTGCAATATATTTGCTTAACAAATTATTCATCGCTTTTGCATGCTTGTATAGATGCTTGGCAGCATATTTTATTTTAGGTTTAAATGTTTTTACTTAAAAAATATAAGTAAGAATAGTTCATAACACTGCAGTGCGATCACTCACCACATCGAACAAAACTATCACAAAATGACTTCATTTTCGCATATTATGACCTGTTTTCTATAGATCGCAATGTGGTATGAAATGTTAGCCAGCTAACACAGGGATGAATGGGGCTTCGGGATAGTGTCGGATATTGATCATTTTATACAAGTTCGCACGTTAAGTTGACAAGAACTTACCATTGTGCATGACACATGGTGAGCAGTTGTTTATGAATCGGAAACACCTATATTAAAAGCTTAAACATAGGAAAAATAATTATTTAGATCTGTTATTTATAAAATTTCCTAAAAACTTGAGATTTTTTAAAATTAATAATTAAATATTTTGATTTATTTAATGGCTTTAGTTGTATTCATCTAAAGTATACATATAATATCACCATATTATGTTTTTCTTAATTTCAATAATATAATATAATTTCATTTTTTTTCATAATTTTATGATTTTATAAAACTTTATTTTAAATTTAAAGATTAATTTTATAATTATTTTATGTTTATTAATATAAAATAAAAACATTTTAATATAGTTTGATTTTATTGACTATTATTCATTTAAAACCAGTCTAATGTTGAATCAAACTGGTTCAGTGAGAATAAAATACGGGCTCTCTTTATGAAAAAAATAAAAATAAGGATTTTTGTAGGAAATTTGCCCTTTCTTATTCTCAATTGAATGTGGAAAACCATGTACAATCATGTTAATAGAACCTAAATTCAAATAATTCTAGCAAAAAAATAAAATCCTATGTTATATATACACATATCAAAATTGATTAAACCTTAAAAAAATTAGGAAATAATAAATGACAATGTTCAATTGTTGATATCTTCCAAACAATACAAACTCAGAAAAATTCGGTTTACTCCCCATTCAATTGAGATGACATGGCTTCCGGTAAGTGACTACTCGACCGAGACCCACCAATCCAGAAGTTGGCCCCACATAATCCAATTTGGGCCCACCAAAGCTCAGTAGTGTCCCTCATATTTGTCCTACTCCGACCTCACTTAGGCCTCCCGGCCGTTACGTACGTGAAGTCTTTCCGGATCGTAGGAATCGACGGTCAAGATACATTTATCACCAGTCTCCAACGGGCTATCTCTCGATCCAACGTATGGAGTTACACTCCCATATACCGGTACGAAAAGATACGAGATTATATCCGTTTCCGTCTCCGTGTCCGTGTCCGTGTCCGTATCCCTGTCCGTGTCCCTGTTCGTGTCCGTGTCCGTATCCCTGTCCGTGACGATGTTCGTGTCCGTGTCCATATACGTATCCGGTCTCACGGCACAACACGGCGCCACACTTCCCCACTTCTCCCCTTCTCTTCCTCGATACAACCACCATCGCCTTCCCACCTCCTTATTGTAACCGCCCCACACCTCTCTCTCTCTCTCTTTCTCTCTCTCTCCGCTCTCGCTTTCTTTCTTTCTAGGGTTTCCTCTCTCCCAAGAAAGAAGGATCCAAGGTGTTCGAGCGCGGAATTCAATCACTCGTCTCGCTTCTTCTCTCCTGGTACGACGGTCTCTTCTCTTCTCCCCGCTTTTCGCCCTCTCTCGTGGGCGCTGAACTGCCTCCATTGTTTTCTTCTCATCTGTTCCGGTCATGATTCGTCTTTTTTGGTGGTTTCTTGGTTTTCTTTGAATCTTTCGTGGGTTTAGGTGGTGTTGCGGGAAGGTTCAAGACTGAATCTTGGGAGGGGGATCACCATGGCGATATTGGATGATGGAGTTAGGGTTTCCAGGATGGACGACGCTTCTTCTCCTGGG